ACCTATGAGTGCCTACATAAAAAAATCACAACAATCTCAAATAAATAACCTAAAGACACATCTCAAGATCTTAGGAAAAAAGAATAAACCAATTTCAAAACAAGTAGGAGGAAAGAAATAATGAAGATCAAAGCCAAAATTAATGAAAGATAGAATAAAAATACAAAGGATATAAAGATGAAAGAGAAGATATCACAAGAGATATCACTTGAAATCCAGAGGATTATTAGGGAATATTTTTAAATCTGTGTCCCAATAAATTAGAAATTGTAAAAAGAAATAGATAAATGTCTAGAAACAGTACCTACCAAAATTGAACCAAGAAGATATAGAAAAGCTAAAGAGACCAATAATAATGAAATTGAAGCAGAAGTAAAAAAGAATAAAAAGCCTAGAACCAGATAGATTCACAGATTAATTCTACAAGAATTTTAAAGAACTAAAGTCAATGCTCCATATATTATGCCATGAAACAGAAAAGGAGGAAACACTTCCAAACTCATTCTATGAAGCCAGTATTAGCCTGATACCAAAACCAGATAAGACACATCAAGAGAAGAAAACTACAGACCAGTATTCTAAGTGAACACAAATATAAAAATCTTTAATAAAACATTAGTAAATCAAACTCAACAATATATTAAAAAATTATACACCATGATCAAGTTGGTTTAATTCCAAGTTTGCAAGGATGGTCTAACATACGAAAATCAATAAACAATACACCACAAAAGTAGAACAAACAACAAAAATCACATAATTATTTCAATAGATACAGAAAAAAAAAAACTTTGACAAAATTCAGCTCCTATTCCTGACAAAAATTCCAAAGAAACTAGTGCTAGAAGATGCCTCAAAATCATAAAGGCTGGATATGTGACCAACCCAAATCTAATATAATATGTAATGGAGTAAAACAAAGTATTTTCTCTAAAGGTAAGACAAGGATGATCATTTTCACTCCTGTTCAATATCATATCTGAATTTTTAGGCAGAGCTATTAAGCAAGAGAAGGAAATAAAAGTGATAAAGTGAAATCATCATGTTTGCAGATAAAATCCTACAAGATCTCAAAAGTTTCACAATAAGAATTCTAGAGCTGATAACAAATCCAGCAAAGTAGCAGGATATAAATTCATTATACAAAAAATCAATAGCTTTTCTATGCAACTATACTAAATCCACTGAGAAGGAATTCAGGAAAGCAAGTCTGTCACAACAGCTTTAAAAATATATAGGTAAAAATCTAACCAAAGAGGTAGAAGACCTCTAAAACAAAAATTATTGAACACTAAAAAATGAAATAGAAAAAGACACTAAACACTGCTCTCATGTATTACTAATTAGAATAATAATAATAATAATAATAATGAAAAATACACAAAACAATAAAAATAGCTCCTTTGTTCATGAAAAGACAGAATTCATATCATGAAAATTGCCAAAAGTAATCAACAGATTCAATGCAATCCCTATCAGAATATGATGACATACTTCACAGAACTATGATAAACAGTCCTAAAATTCATATGGAAGAACAAAAGACCCAGAATAGACAAAGAAACTCTAAGCAAAAACAGCAACGCTGGCGGCATTACAATACTCAACTTCAACATACACTACAGTGCTATATCAATGACAACAGACACATAGACCAGTGGAATAGAAGACACAGAGACAAACTCATACAGATACAGTGATCTGACAAAGTCTCCAAAGATATACACTGGGAAAAGGACAGCCTTTTTTGACAAATGCTGTTGGGAAAATGGAATATTCATATGTAGAAAACAATACTAGATCCCCATCTCTCATGCAACACAAAAGTCAACTCAAAATGGATCAAAGACATATGTACAAGACAAGAAATTTGCAACTGCTAGAAAACACAGGGCAAACACTCCAACATAGAAGAGCAGGCAATGACTTCCTCAATGGGATTCTTAAAGCTCAGAAAACAATACCAAGAAATGGTAAATGGGATGCCATCCCATTAAAAAGCTTCTGCACAGTAAGGGAAACAAGAGTATGAAGTGGGAGCCTCGGAAATGGAAGAAACATTTTTTCCAGCTACTCTTCTGACTGAGGATAAATATCCAGAATATATAAAGAACTCAAAACACTTAACACCAAAAGCAACCTCATCAATAACTGCGAAAATGAAAAAAAAAAGACATTTATCAAACAAAAAAATCGTACAAGTGGCCAACAAATATATAAAAAAAAGTTCAACATCTTTAGCAATCAATCAGTGAAATGCAAATCAAAACCATACTGAGATGTCATCTCACTATAGTTAAAATAAAACTCTTCAAGTATACAAATAACACTAAACACTGGATAGGATATGATCAAAAGGAACTTCGATATACTGTTGATAGAATTGTAAATTAGTACAAGCAGTATGGAAATCAGTATGGAGGTTCTTCAAAAGACTAGAAATAGAACTACTATATGACCTAGCTATCCCACTCCTCAATACTTATTCAAAAGAATTAAAGTCAGCATACCATGCTTATAGCAGTGCAATTCACAGTAGCCAGGTTATGGGCCCTACCTATGTGCTCCTCAACAGATGAATGGATAATAAAAATTTCCTATGTATATGTATACAGTAGAGTTAAGTCAACAATAAAGAAGAAAAAAAATATGTCATTTTCAGGAAAATAGATGAATTTGGAGAGCATCATGTTAAGTGAAATAAGCCATACTTTGTCAAGGGTTGTAAGTTTTCTCTTTATGTGGAAGCTAGAGAGGAAAAAAAAGGTGATCCATGAAAATAGAAGGGGGACCAATCGGGTAGAGGAAAGAAATCAGGGTGAGGAAGGAGAGGAAGGGAAGAGAAGGTACAGGAGAATTAAATTGATCAAATTATGTTGTGTGCATGTACAAATCAGTCACAATGAATCTCACTATTGTGAATAATTACTATGCACCAATAAAACATTTTTTTTAAAGTAATCACCTCCTTAGAAGCAGAGATAAATCTTATCCTTTTATTGAAGTAAAACCTCTTAGTAGCATAGTCTTAGGTGATACAACATGGAGCCTACTCTGTACAGTTAAAAATGTGTCTATGAAAGGCTAATAAATAGGTTGTCAGCTGAAAAACAATTACTGGTTTTACAATATATAAGAACTGATAAATATATATATTTAAAATTATTTCTTCAAATGAGATTCCAGTATATAAATTACTGAATGATTGAAGACAGGGCAGGGAGCTCAGAATCCTGAGAATCTACCTTTTCTCCAACCCTAGGTAACAAAGAGCCCTGGGGCTCTGCACAACTCCACAGCTTGGAAATCATAGCTTTATTCTGACATCAACATTTTGCAAATGAAGAAATCCAATCCTAAAGAGACAAGGTTGTTTAATGGAGTTTCTGAACCCAGAGGATGCTTCACAAATTGACCAAATTATGTTATATGCATATATGAATATTTCACAATGAATCATTCTGTTTTGTATAGATGCAATGCACAAATAAAAAGAAAAAAAGCATAAAATATCCTGACCAGTGTATCTAATACCTGCCATGAGGAGGGACAGGATTCAACTTTACACTCAAGAAATGGATATCAGGTAGAGAAACAAAGAAACTAACAAACCCAACTCCTCTCCTAAACTTCCAGATGGTTTAAGAAGAAAATTTCCAATTCTAAACACAAGGTATACAGGTTCTTGTGGAACTGTCTTCATAGAAACCAAGAGCATATTATACTGTATACTTTAAAATGTTTGAGAATAGCTTCTAAGTGTTGTTATTGAAAAAGATGAAAAATGTGGTGATTAGCTTTAACATTCCATTATGCATACATATATCTAAACATCCCTTTTAGTCAGTTGTTTTTTGCCAGACCAAGAGATCAGACAAGAACAATTTTAGAGGAGGAAAAGTTTATTTGGTGCTCATGGTTTCAGAGGTCTAGTTCATAGAGAGCCAGCTCCGTTGCTATGGACTCAAAGGGAGAGAGAACATCATGTCAGAAGAGTGTAGTAGAGGAAGAAAATATTCAAGACATGGCCACTAGGAAGAAGAGAGAGTGCTCCACTCAAAAAGGAAAAGCTATAAAACCCACAGATACAGTCTCAATGACCTACCTCCCCCAGCCACATCCTATGTGCCTAGAATTACTATCAAGTTAATCCTTTTAAGTGAATTCCAGAGGTGTTATCAGGCCCTCAGTGGAGTTCCTCATCCTAACACTACAAATGTTCTCAACCCCACATGCTTCACTCAGAGCCTTGGCCCTGGGGATTGTTAGCCAGGAAACTTCTGGAACACTTTTGGGTAGCCAGAGCCAACTTGCACCTATATTTTATTTCCCTATTGTTAATAGAAGATGTCAAAAGTGTAAGGTAAATAAATGCTTTTGTCTTTGTGGTCTTCCCAAGTGGATGATTAGAGGAAGTTGGTAAGTTTCCTACCCTTTTAATCAAATGATTCCCATGATTGCTTTTCCATATTTCACTACTTTCCTAGTTTGCTCAGGCCCTCATGAAAAGGCTCCTTATTTTCATAATTAGAACATTAAACCAACGTGACAATATGCAGGTGCTGAAACCTGAGTATGTAAGCCAAAGAGTTTCCTGGTCCATACCAGAAGAAAACCACATGGGGAAGTGGACATGCTCATTTCAGATATACTTGTTTCAAGTCATTTTCAAATAATGTCATAAGTAAATACTCCTGTTGAATAACATTATGTAAATTCTTTATCCTAAATTTTAACCATCTGATGTTTCAACTCCCATTTTTTTGTCAGTTGATATTTAATCAAATACAGCATCTGCTATGACAATTCAAACAATCCAAATACACCTTCACAAACCTCAGGCTTATGAAAGGCTCTTTGTAATTCATCAGTGGATTCCATGCAGGAGGTCTGACACCAAAGAGAACCAGAAAGACCAATTCACAAGAGTTTAGTAAACAGGAAGAAGTCTTAACCCAGAAGTGAGAGTACCCCTGGACAAAACATGACAACATTCAAAATCTTTTTCAAATTCACTTCTTTTATTTTTCTGTGACACATAGATTGCATGTGTTTGTGTGAATTGTGGTTACACATATTAGGCAAGGTGGACACACATGATTTATACATTTCTTCAAAGCACACTAGTTTGAAAATAAATTACCTTTCATACCCAAACTCCTTCACTGCTCTCTTTCAAATGAGTTGACTCTTCTTTTCCCTTCCCCGTGAGGCCACTATTCCTGACAATTTGTGATCACTTTTGTCATCATCTTTTGTGGCCTCAAATCTTCCCTGCTTATCTTGTACCTATATTTTATTTCCCTATTGTTAACAGAAGATGTCAAAAGTGTAAGGTAAATAAATGCTTTTGTCTTTATGGTCTTCCTGAGTGGATATGGTTTCCTCTCTTACATCATGTTCTTAGCATATTTTTCCCCTCTCCCTATAAGCAACTTGCAGATGCTCTTTATGAATGCTTTCTTGAGGTACTGCTTAGCTTCAAGACCAGGAAATGTCATGACAAGTTTTTTCTATGTCCATAGCAAGAAAATAGGGCCCATTCCATAATTACATACACAGACACACACACATACACACACTGCATGGGACTAGTTCATCCTCATATGATGAATCATCTGTACCATATAATCACACATGTTAAGAGAATCCATAGATTTTCCACACCTCTCTACTGTCTATCGCACAGAGCTAAAATTTAATGTTTAGGATTCACAGACAAAACATGATCAAATCAATAAAATATCTTATCCATACTGGGCAAGAATCAATAACAATGCACAATAATTTTATGGGTATGAAGTATAAGTATCTTCAGAATTGTTCAAAGTTAGGATCTTGCTCTAAAAATTTATGGAGAGCTTTTCCATGTCAATGAAAGGAAATCATGTAGGCTGATGCTTTTGCTGGTCACATCAATTTTTAACACCTATTGGGAAACAAAGAAAAAGTATTGGGCATTTGTTTGAAATTTTCTACACATAAACATATCAGGTGCAGGACAATGGTTCCCATAAACCCCTAATATTTTCATAATTCATGGCCTAGCTGCCAATTGCCCTAACATTTTCAGGTGAGAGAGGCGTTTTCTAATTTCCTAGAGTGCAAAGATTGTTCAGTGATAGGGATAATGTGATACAGAACCACTGATGAGAAATGACTACATAGACAATTTGGAGAGAATGCCCGCTTTTCCACTGTTCTGAGATGTAGCTTTTGCCTTGAGGTCCTCCTTTTATTTTTTCTTCTCCTATTCCTTCCACTCTGATGATTGCCTAGTAAGAGTCTAATACTCCTGCTTTTTTCTAGGCAAATACCTTCCATAGGACTTTACTGTGTGCAGGCCTTATCCTGCATGTCAGTCCATGAGTTGGCAAAGTCCTTTATGACCTCTTAGTAAAGTTGGAGAAGTTGGTTTGACAAGAAAATGACGGTATGAGGAAACAAAAAATATAAAACCTAACAAAAACTTTTGTTTCAGACCTAGAAATGAGAGAAAATATATTTTCCTTTCTATCACATATTTGTATAATATAAAAACAGTATAATAGAATATTTAATTATAAAATAATAAGAGATCTGAATACAAATTTAAATAATAAAATAAACATGTATTTTAAGTTGTTTAAGGTATTAATACTTCTTCACATTCAGGGTCTACCTTTTCAAATTACTTTGTGGTAGAATTATTAACGTATCTACAGCCAACATTTTCTTTTGGATTAATTTCTTACAACATTAAAATGTTTAGATAAAACTCTATTGTCTATGGAAACTTCAAAGAGCTTCCTACAGGTTTAAATTTTTTTAAGTAATTGATATGAAAAAACTTATTTCATAGTTTTATTTTCCTTTTTGTGTGGAATTTATTTCTTTGTGAAATAGTGGAACAACTTTTAGTTGGTATTGTCTCCTTATATTTGATGAAATAAGGTGGTTCAAGTTGTTTGGGAAACTGGTCTCTGATACAGAGATGAAGGAGTAAGGACAAAGTTTTACAGATAAGACAAGACAAACATGGAAAGGAAGGATCCAGACCCTGCATTCCAGAGAATGATAAACCATGAATTGTCCCTTTATCTCCATTCTGTCCAAGCAGACATACTGAAAATAGAGATTCCTGGAAGATTATCAGGAGAGAATGGCATTTGGAAAGGAACTGGCTTTGCATGAGGCCTACTAAGGTTGGGAAATATCACTGGACTTTTCACGGGCCACCAACCTGTGTTGTAGAGTTGTAGGTGAAGGGGGGTATTTCATTCCCGTTCCTCAAAGTGATGCTCACACTGGAAACAGAGACACTGCCCACACCCCAGATTTCAATGTAGCCCAATTTCAATGGGTTTGTAGCAACAACATAATTGTTAAAAATTACATGACTCTGCATTGTATTCTGTCAAAATGGAAATAAAACAAAAGGGAAAAAAAAACAAAATTAGTTTTTCCCCCCAACCTCTTTTTAGGCACAAACATAAACCTTGAATAAGCAAACTCTAGGTCATCATCATGTGTCCTCAGCTAGCAGAGATCATGATTTCAGCATTCTATCCCCTGTTGCCAACTACATCTACTTTGCATAAATGCCTGCAGGGTCTTTAAAATTTCCTTGAGCTATAGGAGACAGTCTCAACCATCAAGAACTTATATTCTATGCATGGAGAAGTCACAAAAGTGCAGACCGTTTCAAAGCAACACTGGAACAGGGCTACCCTATATAAAAACAGTCTATCTATGAAATGGTAAACCTAAATAGGTTACTGATGAGATGTGAATAGTTTCCATCACAGCAAACTTCCTGGGGACATGGGGAATCTCTATGTGCAGTTTGGAGGAAGGAAGGACATAAATTAACAAGATGAGCAGGGAAGACATTTTAGGTGCCCTTCTGGCATTGAACATCCTACTAAACCAGCAGAACTCCACTTTCCATCACACTCACCTGGCTGGCAGAAAAGTGGGCCAAATAATATAATCCATTTTCAATGGTATCTGTAAACAAACAACAGGAAAATATGACCAAGGCTTATGCTAGAGAATTCTAATTGGCTACCTGTCTTGGTTGAGAGAGCAGGGATTATTTTTGTGATTTTTTTTGTTTTGTTTTACTTTTCTTCTCTGCTCATCTCCATTTTGTAATGTGACTCCTCCTTGTGGAGACCAGTCAGACTCACAGTCAACCCCAGTTAACACAAATACCAGTCTCATGCCACTTCTCTTCCTTGTGGTCTACCACTCCCAGCTTCTTCCCAGTCATCTCAGGACTTCTGTATTCTTTTGCTAGTGTATACTTATGCATACATACATGCAGATACACACATATACAAGCACCAAGACTGGTGCATTGGTGGGTTTATCTTGAGAGGTATCAGGCAGTTTTCTAAATGCAATCTCCAGGGAACAAATAAAAGCCTTCCTTGTCCTTTACCCTTAATGTATGCCACCATCCAAGGGAGAGTATAATGTTTGGCACATCTGGTGAAGGTGGACTGGTTGGGATCCTTGCCTCAGGCGCTCTCATTCATTCTAGTCCTCATCCTTGTCATTTTCTCCCTTATTCTAGCCTCTTTCTCGTTTATCACCCTGCTGTCAGTATTCACTGGCTATCCTCACCAGAAAAATATAGCAATGTAAATTTAAATTAATTAAAATAAAATTAAATAAAAAATCAGACGCACTTGTCACCTTGTGCCACATATGACTAGTACTGCATTAAACTCAGAAGATGTAGAGCAACTCCACCACTGCAGAAAGTTCTACTGGATATGTGAGTCATCCTTCTAAGAAGTTACACATTTCTGTAAACTCTTAATGGAAAAGTTTCCTCCAAAATAGCACAACTGAGAGAGGCATTGTCTTGCTGGGACAATAAGCCATAAAGCTAAGAAATATGTCCCTTATCACAACGGACTGATGAATAATGGTGAGAGATCTAGCATTAAGCATCATTTGCATGAGGCATAAAGATCATGTATAAAATGGATTACACACTTGAAGTAGCAAACAATGATATTTTTAAATGCAAAAATATTTTAACATAAAAAAGGAAAAAAAATCAGGGACATATGATGTCTAGAAGCCCAGACAATTGCACTGACCTGAATCCCAGGCGACCCGTACTCACCAATGCTTTGCCCATCATCCCAAAAGAGCCAGCCCTCAGCAGATCCCTCATCATCCAAAGCAACCTTGAAGCCCATGAATTTCTGGCGGCTGCAGTGTGGTGAGAGAGAGGCATTAGCTAAAAACAAAGCCCCAGGCACAGCCACAAGCCAAAGGTGTTCTCATAAAATCAAAGAAGCAAAATTAAGAATGGATTCTAAGATTCAAGAGACTTGTAACTCAGCTCTTGTTCAGTCTCCATAAAGCTGGATAATCTCATGTCATGAGTGAATTATTTGTGAATGAATCAAGGGAAATTTTCCTTCAAGGCTCTTTAAGAAATGAAAAGAAAACCAACTGGGTTCCCCCTTGCTGTTTCTGAGGAAAATACGAAAGCTGGAATCCATCTTTCATGGTGTATTTCCTATAACCCATGAAGTGGGTTCTTTTTACAAATATCCTCAGCTCATCATTTTTTATCCATATCTGTGGAATCAAATGAGTAAAGATCTAAGATCTTTAGGAGTGATATCAGACAGATGTGGATTTTAGTCCCTGTCCATCTACTTACTAGCTGTGTGACTCTGACACTTAGCCTCCTAAAGCTCTGCATTGCCATCTGTGAAATCAGAATAAGATTCCCTAACTCACTTTTCATTTTTGTAAGGAAAAACTTTCTTAAATCTCCAAGCAGAGCTCCCCATATTACTATAGTTCTAGACACAGAGTAATGTTCACTTGATGTTAGTTATTGCTAATTATTATAGACACCTAGGTCAATAATTTATACCTGTTTTATATGAGGAAATCTCAGACTTGGGGATGAGTTGTCATGTGGCTTCAACAAGTTTGTTTTTGGAACTGGGGATTGAACCCAGGGTCACTTAACCACTGAGCCATATACCCAACCCTTTTTTATGTTTTATTAGAGACAGGGACCTACCAAGATGCTTAGGGCCTCACTAAATTGCTGAGGCCAGCTTTGAACTTCCGATCGTCCTGCCTCAGCCTTGTGAGTCACTGAGATTACAGGTGAGCACCACCGTGCTCAGTTTAGCAACGTATTTCTTAGATCATATAAGATCCAGATAATCTCCTAAAATTCTCAGGAATTATGATTGCCCTGTTGCTACTTCTATTTGAAATATCACTTCTGAGACCTATCATCTCACCAAGTAAATACAAAAGAGCTGTTAATTAATTATTCAGAGTTCAACATTTGAAAAAAGATGAAACACAAACAAGCAAACAAAAAGACAGGTGCTTAGTAAAACCACTCTTGGCCTTACTAGTGATGTTTCAGGGATTGCTGGCACTCATTAGAAATTAGTGAGCAAGCTAGGGGCAGTGGCAAACTCTCATGATCCCAGCATCTCAGGAGGCTAAAGCAGGAGGATCACAGATTTAACAAGACCCTGGCTCAAAATAAAATTTAAAAGATCTGGAAATGCAGATCAGTAATAGCACTCACTCTTGAGATCAATTCCCGGTACCAGAAAAAAAAAAAAAGAAAAAGAAAAGAAAAGAAAAGAAAGGAAACAAATCAGTGAGCAAACAGGTAGGCAAAGTGGAACACTAGCCCCATACTCACCTCAAGTGTGTGTTCAGTGCAGGCTCCTGCCAGGGCAGGATGTAGCCCCCACGGACATGAAGGTTAATGTGGTCAAGAGGGGCTGCCAAGTCCTTCCACATTCCCCTTGCATTAATATCCACACCCTGTTGGATGAAGAAAAGAGGAGAAGATAAGGGAAAAGACCTTGCCTCCCTGCACAGTGCATCTGGAAGACACCTCCTCTACCTCACTGATCGTGCTACCTGCTCATCACCACTCAGCACCACCTGATGCTAGCCTTCTTCCTTCCCCCTGCTGCTGTGTGAAGTCCTGCTTGGCCTCTATAATGTCCTGTGAGGGTCTCTTGCCTTTTTGGGTGGCTATACCACATCCCCCCTGAGGTCCTAGCGTGGATCACAGCCCACCCTCACCCTACAACTTTTTGGTATGTCACAGAGCACAGATAGAGGAGGCTTCACAGCCAGCCATTCCTTCACTTCTTGCTAGTTCCTCACATACTCTCCACAATGCAGGTCTGAAAATTCTCTTTCACCAAGAGTCTCTCTAGTCTTCATCTTCCCCCACTCTCCACTTCCACCTACTTCACCAACATTTTGGCCTCATACTTCACTGAAAACATCAAAGTGAGCTGGCGTACTCTGTGTTTCCTCTTCTTCTACTCAATATCTCTACCTTCATGATTGACGTCTTTAACTTGCTTCATGTGTGAGAGCGGCTCTCTTGTCTGAGCCATTCACTGAAAATCCTAAGGGACCTTCCACATTTTCTCACCTAGAATAGGGCTTCCCAGTGTTGGCACTACTGCCAATTAGGGTCAGATCCATGTTTAATGGTGCCCTGTGCTCTTTTGATGTTTAGCAGCATCTTCAGAGTCTATCCACCAGACACCATTCTCCCACCCCACTGTGACTCCCCAAGGTGACTCTGCACATTGACAAATATCTCCTGATAAGCAACCCTCAATTTGAGAACTGTGACTTTAGAGGTAAGAAGCAGTGAATACTGACAATTAATCTTGTACATGGCTGTATTCCAATAAAACTGTATCTGCTAAAATAGGTGAACACCTGATTTCACTGAGGGCCTCTGCTTGCCAATCTCCATACTAACAAAGAATAGGTATCCATAACTAGTGAAGATTAATTAAGTAGACATTTCTTCATTGATCCCAGCCATGTAATTTTCATTTTAATTAAACACAAAAGCCCTTTTTCTCTTAATGTCTGCTTCAATTAGCTTTTGGCTTTCCACATCAATTTTTTACATTTCATTCCTCAACTAAATCTTCTATTTAAAAGCCTTGTGTAAAATCAACCATTCCAGAAAAATTCTTTCCCCTACCTGGTGGTACTGGAGATTCAACACAGGGTCCTGATCATGCTAGGTAAGTACTTCACTATGAGCTACACACCCACCTAAAATTTTTATTTATTAATCCTCATACTTCATTTTCTTGCATATGGTACATATAATTATTTACATGCATATTAGCATTTATGACAAGCAAATATCAGCTCCTCATTACATGGTGAACTCCACCGGGTCAGGGCCAAGGCTAGGCAAATTGAAAGAAGTTGGCTGCTCTCTCCCTAGAAAGCCCTGGCAGGAAAGCCCACAGTAGCGTCCTAAAATATCAGCACCCTAAGGAAAGACCCAGCCTGGCAACAAAGAAGAAAAGACAGGGGAGTCAGTGCTCCACAGCACATAGAAGAGGAGAAACACCTCCATTCTCCCCCTACATTTCCATCCAATCCCACTGCACCCCCTCCAATGAGAGGGACAGGCACATGCTCTGCTCTCTGCCTTTCTCCTATATTTCTAATCCTCCACCTTGTTCTACTCAGGAAGTCAGAGGAGACATGGTTTCAGGACAAGGACCCCCTACCACTTTGATTCTTCCTCAAGGGTCAGACTCTGACTCATCTATTTCTCTCAGGAGACTACACTAAAGCTGATTCCAACACCCTGCACTCCTGGCTAGCCTCTGGGACTCACAGTATCCCAGAACCTATACATCAAAGAGCTGTTTATGGGCTACTCATTTGTAAGTCGATGTGCACTACTTAAATTTCTAAGTGTGGGGATCCAGGTCTATATGCACTTTACACACTAGCTCATAGTTTGCTTAATTAGGTAATTAGTGTGAAGCAACTGCTATTTGTTGTTGTTTGTTTCTTGTTGTACTGGGGATTGAACCCAGGGGCATGCTACCACTGAGCTAAGTCTCTAGCCCTTTTTATTTTATTTTGAGATAGTGCCTCACTAAGTTTCCCAAGATAGCCACAAACTTGTGATCCTCCTGGCTCCGCCTCATGAGTAGTTGTGATTAAAGGCATGCACTGCTTATGTGGCTAGGAGCAACTTCTCTTTGAGTAACTGTATTATAGAAGCTAACACAAAATAAAAAAGAACAAGAGGAAAAGGAGTGGAATTTATAGCAGGAGCAGATAAAATTAAAAACTATAGTTATAGCACAATATCCCATCAACAGATGAACGGATGAAGAAAATGTTGTATATACACATATTAGAGTTTTATTCAACCATAAGGAAAAATGAAATTATGGCATTTGTAGGAAAATGGATAGAACTAGAGACAATTATTATAAGTAAAATAAGTCAAACTCAAAAGGTTAAAGGTCATATGTTTTCTCTCATATGTGGGAGATACAGAGGATAAAGGAAAAAAATGGTGGGGAGATCTTATGAAAATCAAAGGGAGATCAATAGAAGAGAGGAACCAGGGAGTAGGAGGTGGGGAGGGAGGGAAGATGTGCTGGAGAGTAATACTGGTCAAATTATAATTTTATATTGTATCTTATGTGCATGCACAAATGCATAACAATAAATACCAACAACACATACAACTATAATGTACCAATAAAAAATGTGGAAAAAAATATATGTAATATTATATAGGTGTAAAAAAGAGGGTACTAGGGTCTCACCTCAGTGAATAGTGATGATATAAGGAAACCCAGAAACTCCCAAGTACAGAACACTAACAACAAGCAAAGCCCTGAATAAGATACTGTACATGATACTCTACAAGAATTCTGTAGAGAGAAGTCTTATTCCATTTGCAAGTGAGAAAACTGAGGATACAAAGGTAAAAACCACACAGCAAATGGCTTATACTGCCAGCACTTGGCCAGAGGTCTGTGAGCACTTGGCCAGAGGTCTGTAAAACCATTGTACTCTGCAATTTTCAAAGGGTGTACAAATGTTTAGAAAAACTTACCGAGTAGTAATCATACCAGCGGGCTCCAGGGAAATATGCAGTGACACTTCTAGCATTCTAAAATTAAATACAAACAAGCTGTGAGCAGTGGGTACAATTGCTAAGACACAGTAACCAATTTGCATACAAAAATAGTTAGAGCAATAGTGATTATATTGAACAAACTCAGCTCTCTAAAATTAAACAGAAACAAGTTGTGAACATGAGGCACTGTATTCTGCAACCTAGTAATAATATGGGCAGGAAAGGGATATCAATTGTGATGGCTGATACCCATCTGTCTCAGGGCCCTGAAGACCAGCACTACTGGAAAAGTATTCCTTCATTCACCCTTTGCAAACACAGAAAAGTTCAAAACTTCCAAAGAAGAGGTGTCCACATAAGGCTTGGAGATGCAGGAAGTCACAAATATATTATGATTTGCTCACAGAATCACAGGAACAAATGCTAAAGAGAAAAACACCTAAGGATGGATGGGAATCAGCACATTCCAGCAGCAGGTTAAATTATGAAGAAGTTATAATTGTTACTTGGTGTTTTAATCAGAATCCTAAGCATCAATGTATAAGGGGAAGAAATGACCTTTGCTGCCTGGAGGACCTCACAAGAAGAATAAGAGCAGGGCTGGCTGAGGTAAGGAAGGCTCGCTGAGCTGCTTTCAATGGTGACAGGACTGTGATGAATTATTCACATGAAACCCCACCTGAACCAGGATCACTTATTTTATTTATCAAAGTGACAGTATATCTCAACACATCATAAGGCTACCATTTATTCTTGATTTTCCAACGAACCTGAACTGCTAGGAACTAGTGGAAACTAGAGGGAACTGAGACCAGGACACCTGTGTGCTGCACTTCTGCTCAGAAGGACAGGAAGACACAAAGGTAGAACAAGCACCCATGTCCTGGGATCTACAAGCACCAAGCTTCTTCTCCTGCCCCTATTCACACACCCTCACACCTGGGATCCACCACACATCTGAGGCCTCCATACTCACAGCCTGAAGCACGGGGCTGACTAGGAAGGCTGGACCCAGCAGGAACTGATCATCTATGTCCCATGTCACCCGGTCTGACACAAACCTGGGAAGGGTAAGAAGATGTCACAGTCAGAGTCACAGCCCAAGTCCCCAAGGAACAACTCAAGTTCAGAGGCAGGTCTCTCATCCAACTCCATTTTATGTCATCCTTAGTCTTAGTCTAGATTGATCAGGAATACACAGGCTTCAATATTCTACATGTCAAGTAACCTTGACATCACAACTATGTTCAGATATGTTCAGTCACTTGAAAAATTCTTCACTATTTCCAGATGGCACATTCAAAATGCAAGAAAGGCACTCAATGCTTTTTTTATGATGTCAGCTCAGTTGGTCTTAATTATTTCAATAGCTACAACACATACAGAGTTCTGTGTATGTGCACATTAGAAAGAAATCAAGCTGTGTTGCATCATTTCAAATATTTTTCACTCAATAAATAGCCTTTCTCAATAACACATATTGCAAATAAAACAGAGTACAAAGTGTGGACTCTGCATGGAGAGCTTATGACAAAATAAATCTTTTCTTCACTGAGAAGAATTTTTTGCATCAACTGCCACCCTACAAAATCAAATAAACTATGCATCACTCCCTGGGACCCCAGCTGGACACTGACTCGTGCAGAAGAGGCCGCACCACAGTGCTGCCCTCCGTGTGAGCCTTGAACATCAAGGTGTACAGATATGGCAACAGGGTGTATCGGGTCTCCATCACACTCCTGGAAATATTCACAAAGGCAGCATCCCAGGACACAGGGTCTTGTCTCTAAGGAATAAAAGCAAAGGTGTTGAGAG